TCACCAGCGGCGGTGGTCATGTGTTTGAATGTAAAGAAACAGAGCAACATAGTTTTTATGTCATGAAATAGCACTGTGCCAATCCATTAAATAGTCACAAATACCAGTTTCGCCAATGACAGTTCAATAAGGAGAGAAATTTGAAGCATATAACAATCTTTATTGAGGTTAGCGAGAGAGAATGACTCTGGCTATTATGCTCCATCGATGTGTAGCAATTTCATTAAGCGCAGGCCCATATGAAGATAGGTGATAAGACAGGATCCCTTGGAGTCTAGACGCCGGTGGCGGTGGAGTGAAGCCAGCGGGTGGTTGATGGAGACTTTCAGTTTCCCAAGACATCATGAAGGTAATGGTATCGGTGGGTTGTGTAACTGTAGCTCTGAATGATATAATTGCAATGATATTTAAAGAACACCGCCCAGGGACCGACTCAGCTCAAGGAACATGTGCAGGAAGATCATCGGGCCACAAATGCTGACTATGTAATTGTGAATGTAGGAAGTCTGGCAGCGTGGGAAAGCAGAAGTGACAGAGGAAACGGCAGAAACCGACTCGTGGAGGCGTTAAGGCAGAACAAGAAAGAACTTCCTCCAAAGCTTTATCTAAATGAGCACAATGCAATGCAGCTGAAAGAATATGATTTTCCTGTCACTGTTGTTTGCTCCACTCACACAGAAACCACAGCTGATTGCAATAAGTTTCCACAATTCATATAATTCATGATTCATGATTCTTTGTTGAATGTCCAAAAGTAGTATCAGTGGGAACTCAATAAGCGGAGTACGGTTTAGGGGAAGTTGGATTAAATTCTTCACAAAGTAACAAAGATTTAATTTGAAAGACCTGAATATAAGGAAAACTTTCTTAAAGTAGTTCCTTTCCATCATACGGTTTTGCTTACAATCTCTTGCTGATTAAAGAGAGAAATGTTCTCAAGCCATCATGTATAATATAACATCTATCATATGAAGATGTCAGGATAACATATTTCCTGCATTTATGTTGTTATATTTTACAATGAAGTCAGTGAAACAAGAAGAAAAACATTTGCTCACTTTTTATTTTTGATATTTAATGTTTTTCTTTAATCAATTCATCAGTTTTATATAAATGTGTGGCCATTGATCAGATAAGGCCCCTGTCGCTGCTGTTTATACAGTCTAACCATATGAAATGAGCAGTGTTTATCTCAACATATATACTTGTATCAGTAAGACTGTGTATTTAGCTCGAAGTTCCTTGACTAATGGACCCATGAGACTGATGTCACACGTTTGAACTCTTCTCACAAGCGCTCTCTCCTCTAAGCTCGATGCCACCACTGTCCCCAGCAAGAATGGTGCACAAGACAGTTGAGTAGATCTGTCTAAAAACTCACTTGCACTTGACAGAAGAATCGATTGGTTAATGCTAATCCAGGATGTCTACTGATGACAGTTGTCATCGACCTGTCACAGAGGTCCATAAGTGAGAATTTGGTCGGCTGCAAAGGGCAGCAGGTTGTCAGAGAGGCAAAGAATCAGGGGCCTGTTATCTTATCTGCTTCACAATCAAAGCAGTTATATTTAAAGACAAGAACCAAACCCTGAGGAAGGATGTATCTGGAGAAATAAAACCACTCCTTCATGCTCTGTTCGTGTGGAAAGCTTGTGGTTTGTGGGTTTGTGTCCATCCACTGTGCAGTGTGTGGCTGAAGATGTTGTGTTTGTCTGCCTGTGTGTGTCCTTACGGCAATATCGCTATATCTGCCTTTATATTTTGTGGTTTGTTTGTGTGCCCATGTCAAATGAGAAAGTGTGTGTTGTACGTCAACAAGGTGCATGATTGTTGTCTATTGCTGAAGGATGCTACGGGCTAAGAATAACTGAGGCCACAATAAAGAAATGACGAAAGCAGTAATTAGAATCTCAGCAGCATGAAATCCTAATGCAATTACATGGAGTTGTTTCTGCAGAAAACAACAAGAGGATTAAAGTTTAAATGACTCATTTGCAAAGACAAGCAATAAAACAGTCTTCAGCCATGTTATCTGGGTTTGAGGGCATATAATGCAAAGTTCATCATGCATTATTAATAAGTCTTATATTAAAAGCAATATATGCACTCTCCCTATTACAGCGTGGAGCGGGAGCTACTGATTAAACACTTCACGTGTCTGGTGGATCACGTGTTTATGCAAAAGATTAAGACAACAACGACAAAAAACAACAATATATTAACTTGATTGTGGTGTTGCAATAAGTTAGAGTTGGTTTATCCTGTGTGCATTTGAACTCCAATGTGTTCAATATGAAATAAATTAAAGACATTATGAAATATAGGCTATTATTATGCAAAAAAAAGAACCAATAAACTGGGAAGTAAGTTGAGAAATCATTAAAAGTCAATTTCATTATTGTGAGGAGTTTATAATTTTTATTACCCTCTCCTTTCACTGAGCTACCAACCTAGCTGGCCATAGTTATCTGGGATGTTAGCAGTGTTAGACAGGGTTAGCAGCTAGCTCCTGTCGGGTAGAGCAAGAAGCTCTTTCTGATACACCTTCTGAGCAATGCTATGTCTTCAGGGCAGATTGAAGGCTACAGTGAGTCGCTATCGGGGCTAGCTGGTTAGCATGCTAACTTCAGTAGAAGAAAAGACGTGATAGAGACGAGTTAACATTGGAATTGCTTCCACCGCTAGAGACAGTTCATGGTGGGTAAAAGAATGAAGTTTGATGCTTGAATGCTGAAGTTTCTTTTAGACTGGTCGCTGGCTATGTAGCGATAGCAAAACTTACCAATAGCTCCTTTAAAGACTCTTCTAACCATCATTTGTTGCACAATAAAGACTTTTTTTTTGCCCATTTCTCAAGTTGTGAATGTATTTCCTAATCTAACTGGAAATGACATATGCTCATGGTCTTTTTGTAAAACATGAGCAAAAATACTAATCCACAATATGAAAATAATAGAAAGTAACTTCAATCTATAAAATGTCAAACTTTGGTTCATGTTCTACAAATTGAGCAAGGAAATATGTCATTTCTAGATACCATCTTTGTTTTGATTTGAAGAAAGAGGTGCAAATTGGGGTTAACAGGTTAAATTTTTTTCTCGTAACAGACAGAATATTTTTTCAACAATACCTTCAGAACAGCAGCAAGTTGGTAAATGACCCTGTGGGTTTTTCTAATACCGCTGGGTATACAGTATATTTTTAGAAATATATATTTTTCAGAAGCTTAGAGCTGTGGTGTAATACTAACACAAGAGGCACAAACTGTAGCTAACGCCATATACTGTATAATTTTGCAACAGTGTTAGGCATAGTATTGTGTTATAAAGAAATAATGAAAAATAAGCCAAACATCTTTTAATATTCACTGTAATGCTTTGTCTTTTCAGATGTGTTGGTATAATTAAATCATTCACATTGCTACCTGTAAAAGCATGTTGACAGGACTCACTGTGCTATAGTGACAGCAGGTGAGATCTCATCTACAATGCTGTTTTCCTATGTAAATATGTGTTTGTTTCAGCTTAACAAGGCCACAGTGAACCAGATTTCCACCAGAGGCCAATCAAGACAGTAGGTGTGCGCACCTCTTGTCTACCTGTAAATAATTCCAAAGCTTCATCTCTATCGCATCAAATATTTAAGTGACTCCCAGAGTAATAAAGTTGGGATTGATTAGAGGACGTGCCCCTGCGTTTGGACGCCTGGAGCGGGATGGAACCAATAAGAGAGGTAATTAGAGGAAGAGAAATGGGAGAAAGATTGAAAGAGGGATACACTTGTGTCTATCTTTGTGTTGGCTTTCGTATTTAACAGCTTTACAGTCAAAAGGCAAGCGATCAATTTAACTTAGACACTACCACAAAATGCTTTCATATCAGCAGGGGAAAGTAAACCAATTAAATCTATGTAAATATCTGAGAATATCCAGTGAGACGTGCAGTCAGGCAGCGTGTCGTTATTAAATTCAGTCCGTGTGTGTGGGCACGTGTTCAAAGTCACAAATTGGTTTTTCATTTCTTTAAAGTTTACACTGTGCAAAGACTACAGAGGTTTCTACAAAGCACATGCATGCCATCTAGTGGTCACCTCTGGTACTCACTGACCCCTCCAAGTCTGAAACAGTATGTGAGAGAAGAATAGATGGAGATTAATTAAGGACATATTTGCATGTTTGTCAGCTGACAAGAAGACACATCATGGCTGTTACTCATGAAAACTTTTCACCTTCACGTTGTGGGACTCAAACTACAATGCCATCCTGAGAGGTGATGCAAGTCACATTTTGTCACTGTGAGACTATAAGCCAATTAGCCTGTGTCTTACCTGGGTAGCCTTCTGCCTGTGTTCTCGCAGCCTCCATAGTCATTTTCCCTGCAGTTGAAAAACCCATTTGAATCAAACGACTGAGCCAAGTGCAGCGAACAAGAAGCCAAGCTTTCAGCAGATCAGGGGTGTCCCGGAGGCATAGTTTGTGGGCTCTCAGCTTGTCGTCATTTGGGGCTAATGTCAGCACAGCGCCTGTGGGATTTTGAAGCAGTTGTTTGGGTTAAGAGTAGGTGAACCATGGTGTTTGAAATCCTGATTGTATGATAGTGAAAGGGTACGGGTACGTACCTTTACAAAGCCCCCCCCCCCCAAGCTTGCCGGGTTCCAGGGATTTTTTAAAACTTATGTACACAGTCTGACAATTAAGGCTCTTGAATTGCACAAGAAATAGTAATATGTGTTATGTATCTATTGCTTGTGTATGTTTTTGCTCAGTATTTTTAAAAAAGAAAAGAAATTTGTAACCTCAAACTGTTATGTGAAGGAATTAGCTGAACAAAAACAATGTTACTTCATAAAATGTATGTAATTAACAACAATAACAAAGCTCTCTTTAACTAACGAAATCCTATAAATAAGTATACAAATTATGTAGAAACTTACCCCTGACACCAGAGAGTAATGACCTTGTTAGCCTGCTGCACAGACACATACGCACATTATATGTCGAGATATTTTATTATTTAAAGTGGATGTCAAAGACAATCAAAAACATGGGGTAAAATTAAATGAGCCATAATAAAATATAATTGTAATATAGAAAAGTACATCAATATATCAATATTGCTGCCTGGAATAGAAATTCACAACGATTTCAAGCACTTGTGAACAAACTGTCAGCAAGGACGTCATCATAGCATTCATTAAGGTTTTCATGTTTAGATACAGCTTTTTTTATTTTTTTTATTTGTATCATTTTCCTGCGTGGGAAATGTGTAGCATAGTCCCATAAAAGCTGAATAAGCCAGAAGGAAATGCCACTAACTTTGTTTTACAAGAAGTGGGTAGTTGAAAAGTCAATTTTCGGAATAAAACTTACAAACTCAGCCAATGAACGCCAACAAAAAGAACAAAAATATAAGATAAAAGTCAACAGGAACAGAGATAAAGAGATCCATGTGTGCATGTTGGGTTTGTTGTGTGTAAACATTCCCTGATGTTCTTTTGCACGTCAACACTCAGAGAGTTTTGTTAGCAGTTAGGTTAGGCCACCATGTTTGCAATATTTCAGCTGTCACAGAAAAGTGTGGAATACGCGAGTCCTCAGACTCTTTGTCCGAGGAACGTTCCTCGTAGAGAACTTCATCAGCTTGTACAGATTTGAAGAATTCCACAAGCTGGAGATCGGGAACCAACGAGCAGTCCGCTTGTTCCCGTGAAGGTTCCAGAAGGAGGAGGAGCAACGCTGGAAAACCTCGATGTTGACCGCATACTGACCCGGTGCCCACTGAGACACACGCACGAGAGTCACAGAGGAAGCAAAACCACAGGTGTGAGGAGAAACGCCATGAAACACAGACTCCCCCGGCCTAACAGACGCACCCCTCTCCCAGACCATCCCTGCCTCCTCTGCCACTCCCATGCCACTGAGGTTGCACAGGGCCTGCAGGCACACCTCCTCCAGGGCCTCCTTATCAGGGAAACGAATCAGGATGGCAACAAGACGAGGCACGGCACCTCGACGTAGTAACAGTTCCTGGTGCTTTGCTGAGGGAGACACAGGAACACAGAGAGGCAGAGAAAATTATCAATTCGAATTGCATTTGAAAACATTCACACAGTTAAATTCATTGGAGTGAGTAGCATTTCTCTTCATAAACCTCCTGTAAGAGGGAGAAAACAAATGATACCAAGGCTAATATGACTTAGTAGCTTCTGTCTCACAGTCAACAGTGTTTTTTTTTTTCCTGAATCAAACTGTATTTCACATGAGCTCTGTTGTAACTTTGTGCTCTACCTGTTATTGTGTGTTTTACCAAGAAGTTGAACATGATGGAAGTTACTTCTTCATCTGTCTGCCAGTCATTTGTTCCAGGACGCTTGAGAAAGATTTACCATCTTCAGATTTTTACCTTCTTAACTCTTGTTTGCCAACGAGTAACCACGTCCCTCAGTCACTTTGTCTGTGCAGTAAAGCGTTATTTTGAATTTCTTAACAGCACCGAAAATAATTTACCTTTAGTCAATCTATTTAAAATGCAAACTGGAACTGAGTTTAAATCCTGTTGGGAACGGTCTCTTGTAATGGCACATATGCATTACAATTAATGACACAAGCGCACACAACTCGTCAGGAGGGATTTGTAAATTTTCCCTTCACTTACAGCTGTCATAAGTCATGCGTGAGATGGCCATTGCAGCGTTAAGGAGCAGTTCTTGGTCTGTACTGGTCAGCACCGACAGCAGAGCTGTAACCAAGCCTGAGTCACCAAAACCTTTACGCACCACAGCTGAAAAAAAAATATATACAGGGCAGGCAACAAGAAATAGCTCAAGCACGTGACTGATCTCGTACGCTTCATTAACTTAAGTAGAAATGACTTATAAAGAAATTATAGCGAACATATATCTGTATCAATAACTTACATTCCTTGGCGAGTTCAGCCACTAGTCTTGCAGTCAGTGTAGTGAGGGGCCCTCTGCTCCTCAGAGACAGGGCCAGGATCGGCAGGATCCCACTGATCACTACCTGCTCAGCAGCGCCTTTCTCTGGACACAAGTGGAATTACACATGTAAACACAACACTGATACAAATTCATAAGAAACATAACATATTAGAACCATTTAACGAGGCCAAAGCCAAAGAAGAATTTGGCTCGAGGGATGAAATTATATGAACTACGTGTGTATCAAGTTGAAGCAGCTGTCATTTTTGACCGATTTGTCCCTTTAATCCTTGAGCAGACTAGTACTGAGTTTTGTCTTTACGGGGTTCTCCATCTTTACTCTCTGCTTGATCTCTATGACCTGTCTTTACCTCTTCTGCCTCTCTATCCCCCTGTTGCTCTCCTGCTAGGAGACACAAATACAGCTTAACGTCTACCAGGGACTTACAACTGTCATACAATTGATCCCTTCACAGCCTCTCAACCCCCAGATCCGCATTTCCTCACAGTAGTTTTGCTACAGGTTTTATCATTCAGAATGAGGGGGGCTGTTATTGCCACTAGAGGTGGGAGGCATGCTATCTTAAGGTATATCGGTATGGAAACACATAAATATGTAAATTGCATGTGGTAGCAAATCTGTCTACATTTTATAATTCAAATCATATCAAATGACAGACTACATGACACAAAAAATAACCCTGAATCCCCTCATTATGCCACGAAGCCTATGACAGGATGTGATATATTTTTATGCATCTAGCAGGTAGTGTAGATTTCAAAGCCTGTAATAAATTCTAATTAGAAATGAGAAAAACACAGTGAAAAGATAGTATAAATGAACTCACTCCTCTCCTTAATGTTGGTCAGCACTGTGTTCAGATGTGGTTTAAGTTCATCCTCAATCAGCTCCAAACCAAGGACTCTAATGGCACCTAATGCATTGTTCAGGTTGTCTGTGGGGGGACATATTAAGGGTCATAAAATGGGGCGCAAGTAAAAGGCTATGGATGCTGTATGGGAGCATAAGAAATATGAAAGTCATTACTGTTAGGCGAGAGAGAAGGAGGGTTGCTCATAAAAAAGCACATGAAAACACACCAATGAGAAAATACTGCAAGTATAAAGCGCACAGTACAACTGGGATTCTCCATTTGAAATGCATTTTGAAGAGGAGTTAAGATCTCTGAGAATAATTTAACTAAGTGTGCAAAGATACATTGCATTCCTTCTTGCAAAAACATCCAGCTGTCACCCTCTGATCTTCCTGGTTTAGACCTTTTCCTGACTGTATGTTGGTGTTTTTGGTGCTATAGGTCTACAGACATGCCAGCAGCTGTGGCAGGTTGCACTGTGGTGCTTTGAGCTAAATGCTAACATCAGCGTGTTAATATGATCTCATGGTGAATGCTATCATGTTAGCCGGTATCGTGTTGACAGCTGTCACCATCTGGGTTTAGTGTGTTAGCATGTTAACATTCCCTAACAGCAAACACTAAGTGCATCTGAGGCTGACAGGAATAGCATTAGCTTTGCCGGTATTTGGGCAAACTGAAATTTTAACATCTAAATGAAAAGTTAAGGGATCACCAGTGTTGTTACAGTTCATACCAAGGGGGGTGTGAATGTCTGTACTAAACTTCATGGCAATGCATCCAATAGTTGTTGAGATATACACTCAAAACCACAAATGTCAACCTCATGGTGGGGCTAGAGGAAAGGTCAGGGGGTCATCAATGTCAGTTTGCTTCATTTTGTTGGTGCCACAAATGTCTGTACAAAATTTCATTACAATTAATTCAGAAGTTCTTGGGAAATATTAGCCTGCACCAAAAAGGTGGACTGAACGACCAGCACTCTAATAGATCAATATCACCATCTCTTCATATCCACAGTAGATAGTGTCATTCATAGATATTTGGCTCACTAATGATCCAAATATAACTCTTCTATATTCATTCTATTAAACTGTGTTGAAACTCCGGTGGAAATTAGACATTTTGAAAAGCGAGTTGCACCGGTGGAGAGCCTCATGGAGACGTCTCCGAGCTACTGTCCATTTCATACTGCAGCCCTGACCAGCTTCATGGTAAGTTCTCTGGTCAAGGACACTTCAACCATAAAAAATCATTGTCCTGGTCAGATTTTCTCAGCTGTGTCTGAGCAGAAATGAAACCCTCCAGTTGCCAAGCAGATTCTCTTTTGAGTGGTTCTTCAGTTAACTTATGCAGAGGCCAGTCACTGATAGTGATTAGTAATGTGGCCACTGTATTCCCAGCCTTTGCCTCAGTAAACACCAGACCATTAACAGAAGGTGCGAGCATGCAGAGACATATTAGGAGGCTTAAAGGACCACATCAGTGGTTTTCCATGTTTTAGCCCATTAACTACAAATCATGTTTACTTTACATCACATTTAATCATTTTGCAAACTGTGCTGCTGGTTTCATTGGTTTCCAGTAATTTCCACATGGTATGAAAATCAGATACCAGACTCTTGAAACTTGCTTGAAATGTGAAAAGGTAATTTGATGCGACAGCCTAATCAATCCGCACCTAAACTGCATTACCGCACAATGATCATGTAAATTGGCAAAAATAATGCAGCACTGATGTTCAAGTGCATGCTTCAAAAGTCTACTATTTGATTTTCATATTGTACAGAAATGAATATGAAACAATGGCTCACTGGAAGATTAAAGGATCTAAAACATTAATACAGCATGTATTTTATAATTCTCAACAAAAATCAGTGAAGTACATATGATGTTGTTAAATGGCCGACAGTATATAAAAATCTGGCTACACCAGAGAGATCCCATGTGTAAATGTGGAGAGTGAAACAAAGTGTGTCAGTTCTGTGAATGAAGATATTACACCCACACTATATAATATCATATCCTACATATTCTGAAGACCACCTTCTACACTGTAAAACATCCATCAACTCACCGTTTGGTGTGTACGGTTGCAGTCGACTGGATCTGCGTTTATCCCTGTGAGAACGGGTGTAGCTGTATGTGAGTGGCACATTAGGGTGTCCCATCCTGCTCCGTTCTGTGGTCTTTGGACAGCTGGTGGTGAAACTTTCTCAGGTTGACATCTTCATGCAAAACACACAGCACTTTTTTTATAGCCACTTTTCCAGATTTCTTTCTTTTGAGTGACTCGCTTGAGAAAACCTACTTCAGCCTACTCTGCGTCTCACTTTACTCACACTGATCCAACCCCTACCCATCTTACACTCTGGTCTTGTTTCAAAATAAAACTGTTTGTTTTCTGAACGCGTCCGTCTTCCCTGTACTCCAGCTGGCTGGGTTAATACGGAGAAAATCCTCACTAAAGCTGTTCTCTCTCCCCCCTCCCTGTATGTGTGTACAGTTAGGGTATTAGCACTTGGCTGACTCTGCTGAGTATATTCCTACGGCCCTAAAAATCTCCCACAATGCCCTTCGGCTTCCAGAAAATCCAAGCCCAAACAGCAACACAGACAGGTAGGCATATGGCATCTGTTTCTGTACACAAGTATATTATTAGATGGCATTTTTCCGAGAATGGAAAATGTCAAACAGGGTTGGATTGCAATTTAGGTCTCTCATCAGCCGTATAATTTTATCCTTACCCTGACTTCCATCTCTTAAAACATCTCAGGATCTGGATTTGTTATTTGTCTTTATCATAAGACAATGACACACTGAAAGTGGTTATGAAAATTAAATCTTTATATTTTACTCAACTCTTGAGGTTCCAGTAAAAACAGACATTACTTCATATTTCATGACTCTAGTACAATACAACAGAACAGGAAGTCTAGACAATAAATACAAACAGAGGAACAGGAGACATTGTACCACCAGTGAAAAAAATATAATCCAGACCTCTGATATCATCTGTTCCTGTACATGTGCCTGGACAGGTTTACTCAGTGTTTACATTTTACGTACAGATGTTTGTCTGTTCACTAAAAACCTAGGATGAAAAAATATTCTAGATAAGATTCAGTTTAGACATCTAGATACATATAAAAACTGCTACTAAAGAAACAGGGGATTCATGTAAAAGAAATAATTCAACAGTTTGAGAAATGTGCCTAAATACCTTCTTGCCAACAGTTCTTCATATTTGTACAGTGATATCGCAGCGCCTGGTTAGCTTAGCTTAGCATAAAGACTGGAAACAGGGGGAAACAACTAGCCTTGCTCTGTCTAATGGTAAAAAAAATCTGCCTACCAGCATTTAGCTTTCTAACAAAAAAAATGTATGATAAAGTGTAAAAATGACAATTCAGCATTTTACAGCCAAGAAATAGTCCTGCACCTAACCTCATATAAAACTTAATTAATAAGCTTTAGAGTTGCTGGTAGGTGGATTTCGTCACATGTAGACAGAGCCAGGCCTAGCTCTTTCCCCGTTTCTAGTCTGCATGCTTAGTTAAGCTAACCGCCTGCTAGCTCCGGCGACATAAGTGTGACTCCAAAATGTGACATTATACTCTGATGCTGAGCTCATCACAACCTGTGATCACCTTCACGGGAGCTCCACCCAACTCAGCTTGTGCAGAGCTCGTGTCCCGTTGCTGAGCATCCCTTTGAATGGGACTATGATTGGTTCTTTAGACCCGTCATGTGACCCGGTGTCAAACAGTTCCGGCTGCATTCAGACCACTGGAAACAGTCTCATATCCTACAGAAACCAGGGTGAGGACGTTACTCTCCACATCATCCGGCTTGCACTGCTCTGCTTGAGTTTCCACGGGAACAACACCTCCAGTTTCCTGTCTTATTTTCTTCCTGGCTTTGCCCCGCCCCTTGCCTTTTGAAATGACCTTCCCTTGCTCTTTGACCCCTTCCGACAACTTGTGAGCCTTCTCCATTTCAGCTGAGCGGGCTTTGCGGTGGCGCCTGCGGATACGCCTCGACGCCGGCCCGGAGTCAGCAGGGTCCGACGCCGCTGCACCGGACAAGATGCGAATCTGCTGCTCAATCACCATGATGATCATGTCCAGTGCAACATCTAACATTCCCAGACCGAGTCCATGAGTGACGCTGTCGAACGCGCCACTGTTGACCGGGTCGTTGAAACATTTTCTCATATCCTCGAGGTGGTTCCTGAGAGAAAAAGAAAGTGCTGTTACTCCTTTTTTCCACAATTCCTTGGAAAAACAAGCTTGAATACAAAGCACATACTTAGTTTCAATAATTTTGGACCAGTGTTGAACTGTATTTGTCTCTGGGATGAGCTGTTTAGCCATGTTTCCGTAGTCAATGTAGTCGTGGGCGAAATCTTTCATATCGTCACACAAAGCCCTGGTGTCGCCTAAGAACACACACAAATCAAATTAAAACAATTCTCTTGCACTCAAGTTCTTAGAGTTAAACATGACTTCGCACATACACACACACACACACACACGCACACACACAGGCACACATCTGTCACCTTCCGTGAGTTTGGAGAACGAGGAGGAAACCGAGGTAGTTGTGCTTGGCGTGAGGCCGAGTACATTGAGCGACTCTAGCAGCGTTTTCTTGCTGGCTGGTCCTCGGCTGACCCGAGTGTATGCTGCCAAGGAGCGCAGCGACATCTTCTCCGGGGCCTGAAGGCGCCGTTTAATTTCATCGTACGAGATCAGATACTTCCCTGAAATTAGAGCGACACAGGAAGAGGTGAACGCATCGGCACAGTAGGGTTGGGATATGGGAATAGTGTTTAATCAAATCTGGATGCCATATTGAATTTGCTCATCAAATATGAATCCCTTGTCATATCTATTTATTAGGGCTTAGATTTGAAATGTTCTGAATGGCAATGGTTTTGAATAACTAAACTATAAAACTGGTCTGATTATACAACCTGATAAGAATTTGTAAATGAGCTCAGTGACCTGAATGTTACATTGTTGTAAGTACCACAAGAGTCAAGCTCTGTACTTTACCAACTTGGAACTAGATCCACAACAGAACCAGCGATTGTAACCCAACCCCAGCGACAGTGTAATGAACATTCAAATGGGTGTGATCTTCAAACAACTGGCCACTTACGAGCTTTAGATCCTTTCATGTTGGGATCCAGGAGTGACGACACCTCTGCAAATGGCATGTGGGTACTGGACTCTGAATGTGTGCTTGAGTTTGGTGGCGGCTCCTGATTCTGAGACACGTCCTCAGTCTGGACGACCGGGCCAGAAACCTGCATCTGGGGCTGAACATGAGGCTGTACGGTGTGCATTTCCACCTGGTTCTGATCTAGCGGAGCCTGGCCTTGCACTTGAGGGAGGACCAGTGTGTTTTCAGATAAACCCTGCAGACCCATGCCCCCTTGTGCTACACCGCCGGCTTGCTCTGAAGAAACCTGAAAGATGCCCATGACCGGCTTTACCACAGTGAAAACCATGTTCCCCTGGGCGTCCAGACTCACCATCCTGGCAGATGGGTCCATGTCTTTGCTGAAATTTGACCTTTTAGCTGAAGGACGAGGCTCTAGAGGCTGTAATTATCAGATCAGGTCACCTAAGAGGCCCATGTAGTGTTACAGTATACCCTTCACTTTTTAAATGGTTATGGTTGAAGCTGACCTGGCAAAATGGGAAGTTATAGTCCAGGTAAAACCTCCCACATTTGAGCGGTTAGAACATTTTACTTTCTTTGTATGGTTTCGTAAAGGTTATGATCACTCATGGCAACACCACAGAAGAGGTTTCAATCTGAAAGAAAAAGAAAAACCAAGAAAATCACAGTTAGAGCCAAACCTTTTTAGCATTGTAACTCAGCATCAAAACATTTGATATAATTTGAAAATGAATACTCTTATTTCACCACATTAATCGCATTCAAGGATACTATGAACTAATTACAGTATGTATAGTAATATATTGATGACTTGTCTATCAAATTAAATTCTACCAACATTTAGTTGGTGGAAAAGTAAAACTCGGGTCATTAGAAGCTAGATTGTGATATGAAATATAATGACTGGTTTTGGTTTGGGATATTTAGGGGAATAAAAGTGTATTCAACTGAAATTGTGTTTTTGGATAAAGCGAAATTAGTGTTTATATGATGAGAATTCACTTTGAAGACTGGACACAGCCACTTGATTGTAAATGGGCCAAACTTCACTGGTGCTAGTCTGTCCAGAGAGACGACCTTTGTTACACAAATATCCTACGTAGCAAACGTAGAGTTTTACTGAAAATCTGACATCCAACCACATTTTTATATTTTAAATATTTACAATTAAAAGCATTTCAGTTTAATTACCTAAGAATGTGATAATGCATTCTGCCATTAACATTAAACCAAATAAGTGAAACATGTCAGTTTAAACAAATAAAAAAAGCACTGAATGATACATTTACTTAAATACATACTGGATTCAGGAAACCCTGATATGATTTTTCCAAAGAGATGTATTTTTTTTATTTCTTATCTTCTTTTACTTTACTAATTTTTGAACAAAACAGCCTATAATGAAAACATGATTGGCTCTACTTTGTACTGTATATTTATCAGTAGAGGTACACACTGTGGGTGTTACAGACCTATCATGAAACGTTGGTGCTCAGTCCACACCTGTCCCAGGTCCAGAACCTCAAACCTTGACTTGCTTAACTTTACATTGTATCTTAGTTTTACATTTATTCGCTCACTGTGACGCAAAAAATGTCAACACAGGAATGTGATTCGCTTAGTGCTTCAAATTATTACAGCTTCATAACAAAGCAAAAACAAAATAAAGCCTGAAGAGCATGTGCTACACATTTGAAAAACATCCAGACAGCTTTAATATACAAGATAAGACAAATAAGTGATGCAGCCAGTTAACGAGTCAGTTTCTGCTGCCTGTCTGTTTCTCTGTGATTGGACAAGACGTAGGAAGAGAAAGTGTCTGTCCAATACTGTCCACAAAATAATTAAACTCCGATATTAACTTTTGCCAGGGAATAAGTGCGGTAGGCGTGAGTGAGTATTTAGCGTCTAACTGTGCAAACGAATGGATTATAAAATAAAAAATAACAGCAAATACACCAGAGCATTATCGTCTCCACATGTTCTTTTATCAGCATTTAATTATCACAATGCTAAAAATTTGACTTGAAGCTTTGAGTAAACAAGAAAACACTGAATTTTCAGCCACCAAATAACGACACAAAATTTACCAACAAAACATCTCATCATAACTAACATTCATCATGGCTGCCATGAGCGGCCGTGGCTGTTTTTTTTTTCAACAGCAGGCCTGAAACGTCCCAGAAAAAGGGCAAAACTACAACAACCGGCTGCGGTTCTGGACGGGACAGACCGAATTCAAGCGCTAACCTTTGATGCAACTAGTGACGGCTGTCCCACTCACCGAATTGCCGTGTGATTTTTCCTAAAAGGACACTGATCCTAGAACGGTCCGCGTCGGAGACAGCGACATTTTTCCTCCTTCTCTGCTTTAGCTTCGGCGGGTTGCAAATCAGCTGTACGTGCACTACCGCTGGAAAACCGTGATCCCGCCGCTCATTGGTCGAGCAACGCATCAATTACGTAATGAGTCATTTGTGATTGGACAAGGACGGTGCCAGTAGAGAAGAGGAGGCGGTACTTCCGACTCAGTCTTCTCTGAATACAATGGGATGAAATCTTGTATTTATTCATTTGTTCGCATGTGTTTTTGTGTCATTTTCAGAGGCGTCGTCGGCTGTAAAGTACTCAAGTTGAAAAAGTGAACGTTTTATGACTTATAGACCTTTTTCTGGAGGTCTCCAAGAACTACTACATTTATTTTAGTACTATTATAATGCCTACTTAATCATGAATTGGACCTTTCAATGTGTTACAGACCTTTCAGATCACTGAAATAGTTTTAGTATTATTTTTAGTACAAGCAACCAGCTGTAAAGACAGATTAAACACACTGCTTTTTGTGTTTGACAGCACATGGACCCATACAGAGGATAATAATCCTTTCCAAGCATTCATAGTCAAACTAAAGAATACAAAATAGCAATGTGCTGCATATAATTTAATATGAAAAATCATAAATGCAACCTCTTAAATACAATCCATAAAAGTCTTTACAAAATGAGTAAAATCACAAAATTGATCTTATAAATGTTAAATCAAGCTAATTTAACTACAAGTGTCTGTAGTTGGTGAAACTTGTGTTGTCAATGTCAGTAGAGAGACGGTCCATTGATGGCGACCTGAAGCCTGGAGGCTGGGTGTGTCAATACTCTTCATCCCAACTGTGGCCACTGTGCAACATCTAGTGGACATTTTAGATCATTACACATGAGATCAATGCAGAGTCCTGTGTAGTGTCTCATACAGAATTCTCCTTTCCATGACATTATTGGATATTTTAGTCTTAAGCACGGGACCAAAACTGTTCTAAAAATAAATGTCAGAGTAAGTATTTGATGCACGCATTCATATGTTGATTTGGGTCTTGCTTCTAATCAATACATTTCTGCATAAAATGACCATCTGAACTGCCCTGATCAGTTTTCCTTTTCTCCCACACTAGCAAACACACATTTTACTGGAAAATAAGCAACATTTAACATATTTCATTTGAATTTATTTGGGTACAAATTAAAAAAAATGTACAAAACAAAGCATAGAAAGTAGTAATATGAAAACAATGTCAATGACAACAACAACATAAAAGAAAAGGCAACAGTTAAATAATTCATTAAAAATACAGCCAACTAACCTGTGGTATTATCTACACAAACAGAGCATATGACATTTAACAGTCAAGTTTGGGTAAGAAAAGGCATAGACCTGGGGCATGTGAGAATACAAGGTTGGGTTTAAATCCAGAAGTGCACAACAATCAAGATGATCAAGTATATTTTTTTTTACTCAAATATATGTGTGTCATTAAATTGAAACAACCTTACTACAAGAAACATACTGATACCGAAACATTTTGACGGTAGGCCTTTGCTCATTATACAGTTCTCACACTGCCATTAGTGTAATATCCTTTCAATGTTTTTTCATCCTTTATCCCTCAACACTCATTTACATCATTACTGTGAGGTTTAGCCCCATAAACATCCCTCATTAGCTTAATGTCTCTGTTTCTGGCCTTCATAACAAGTACTGAAGGTTACCAGACTATATATACTCATAATGTACAAACATTAGTACAGTGTTGCATTCATAATGAGCTTGACACCATCCCGACTTGACGATAACAAGTAATTCAGCACGACAGCAAGCTTTAAAGGGGAAACACGTGACAGAACAGAACACGCACTGTACGTCTAGCAGTCTTTGGCATCTGTAGGCTTGTAGGTTTCAGAGCCTGTCAGCGCCATTGCTCAGTAAAGCACAGAGGAGACCTGTGTGGAGGTATCCAGCTCCTGTCTGGTTAAGTCTCCATCATATTGCCTCGCAATCATGCCTAATGTCACTCACTGAGGGGTTAAGTGTTCATTTTAATCTGTGCTGAGGGTGGGTGTGGGTGCTCTCCCTTTCAGGCTCAGCTGGTTTGGGTGTTAGTGCTGGTGTGGAGGGTGGACGGGGGCGATGGCTCAGTGTCTCCGAGTGCGCTGGCCCCCAGTGCCTGTGGTGGTGATGTAGAGGAGGGGCTGGGGCTGCCGCAGCTGGGGCCCTCGCTTCAGGTTATTCATGTGGGCTGTGGAGGACTCTGCATTCGAGCCTGTGGAGAGGCAGGAAACAAGAAAGACAAAGGTCAACAAAAAAGTAAATAAAGAGGAATGTCTCTATCTCTCCACTGACAGTGATGGCGGTTTACCTGTTTGCTGGCTGTTGTGGGGTGCCCTGACTTTGGCAAGAGGAGGGACCCCTCTGAACTGGGGACGAAGCATAGGAGCCTGGGGCTGACCGTTGATGTGGAGGTGGGGGTCTGATGTGCTGTCCAGAGGGCGGAACCTCTGAGCTGTGGTTGTCTTGGTTTGAGGGAGCTGCAAGAGAGAGGAAAAACAAAATCATTGATTGACTGATTGCTTACCTTAAACACACAAATGCATCAGCATCTCCTGCAGAGGTGCTCTGAAATGTTACAATAGTAATATTAAACATACAACAAATAGTTGATACTCACTGCTTGACCAGTGACCTCGAAGGAGCGTGAGCGCCTCTTCTTGCGGCGAGCTTCGAAGTCCACTTCTCTGGGCGTTTGGTTCTTGGCGGCGACCTGACGGTTGCGTGGGCGCGTCCAGGTCACCTGCAGGCCGGGTCCCTCCCCGGTGCTGCTGGACAGGTTGTCGTCCGAGGTGGCGTGTCTGAGCTCAGGGCTGGGCTGCCTGCCGCGCCGCAACGGTAAACCTCTAGGGGGCGCCTCGCTCAAAGACAGGCTGCTTTTCTGCTTCTTGTGGTCCAGGGGAGAGGGGGGAGGGTGTAACCGCAAAGCGTCCAGCTCCAGGGCTTTGGAGCGTCGACGGGCTGCTTTCACTACAATGTTCTGGACGCCCTTTAGGATCTGCTGCCGCTCTGTGAGGAAACAAGGAGAGGTTTGTTATATTAGTTCATTTACAACCTTTTCTTTATTCGATCTTCTCAGTAAGGGACGTGTATCTAGGTAGAGAGCTGGGAATGTCAAAAGGGAAACTTCAGAAAGAAAGAGAATCACATGTTTTGGCCACAGCTAACCATTAATTAATGCTGAAATTACTATTAGTTGCATTGTTTTAGTCATTTATAGGGAAAAATACCAAATACTTGCTAAACTTGCTAAATTTTTCTGTTTTATACCATTATTAAATTAACTGGGTTAAACAGGCAATTTGAAAACATCATCATGGGCTACGGGAAAGAATGTGCATTTTTTTATTTAAAAAAAAAACAAAAAAAAACTGACATTTGATAGACTAAACAACTGGAAGAAAAGAAAATCTGATTAATTGATATTGAAAACTATCAATAGGTGCAGCCCAATCATTAAAGTACAAATGCTAATAGTTTATTTATTTGTCATTATAGCCACATACTGTATATAACATAAACATAGCAAAGGTAAAGGCGTTTCTCATGGGACGATGGTGCTAAGAAACTGACATGACAGTAAGAAACAAATAAGTACCACATATAAAATGTTCAAGTTAAAATATCCTGAACGCTAAGGTTAAAAAGTGAATTAAAAACAGGCCCAGATGCAGCATCCATGGCCTACGACGTGTCTCCAGCTGTGAATAAGTGTGTACTTTATGTATCCTGAAACATTTCAGAAAAATTGTTTAAAATTGTTTAATGTCCTTCCACTCGCTAAAACACTAGTCTGAACATCTTACCATTTCGTGAAAGGGGGACGTCGGCCCCGGCCTCGCTGCTCTCAGGTGACGAGTCCAGGTGGCTGCTGACACTGTGGCTGAGGTGACTGTAGCTCAGAGAGCTCTCAGGAGCCAGAGGCTGCAGCTGCAGACATTAGATGCAGAGTGCCACATTATGATCAGACATTCATTGCAGTGCTTTGCTTTCAGTCGAGGTCAGGTTGAGTGCCATCTTAATCAATTCTCTGTCTCTGCAAAATTATATTTTTACTTTGAATGGGGCATTTGGATTCTAGCTATCATTACCTCATCTTATCTATGAGTCAATCTCCTGAAACATTTGCATAGAGAGAAAATCAGATGGAGGTAATATTATTTCAAGCCTGGAACAAAGGTGCAATTCTGCCTTTTTGGAAATTTCAACCTGGTACGCTGAGCAAAAACCTTGAAATGTAAGAGCTAAGAGAGAATACTCATGTCAGCTTATGATGCAGATTCTTTTATGGAGGTGTGTGGGCTGGAAATGAAAAGGTTCTAGCTGAGTGAAGTATCTGTGTGAGTTTAATTCAAACAGGAAACCATATTGCCAGAAGTGAAAAACAACAGCTGACTAGGCCGCATTAATTCACAGCATGGAACATCTCTCGGGGATAGTTATTGAGCTGGAATGGACAAGGGTAAATACTCCCTATTGGAACCATCCTCACCTCTCTGTTGCCTTTCCCATTAATGTGGATGGGAGGCGGCGTCATTACAGCTGAGTTTTTCATCTGCCTGGCGTGAGGGCTGCTCTTAAACACTCTGTTATTGTCCCTGGCACAAAGAAACATGAGAACATAACAGTGAACAAATGAACTTCTTAATATTACTGTAAATGCGGTTTGTTATATGAACTCTAAACGGGAAACAAGACATCCTCTTACAGCTCAGGCTCTGGCAGAATGGGTGGCAAGGTGTGTCTGCGAATTTTGGCTTGGCCTCGTCTGTTATCAGGGCACACGTTGCGGACACTCTCCTGGTCTGAGTCCATGTCCTGCATGTTGTCGCGACCCTGACTGGGCAGGCTGATCTTGGGTAAAGATCCCTCCTGGAAATTAGAGCACAGCATTTAAGTAATTCTTTTACATCACATGATACAAACATCTTCTTATTTTCTTCTTCTTCTTCTGGGGGTTACCTTGATGGTGTGTTTGGTGGTCACCTTATCCAGGGCCATGGCTCTGTCCAGCTTCCTCTCATCCAGTTCCCTCATGTAGATATCATACAGCTCCTGGAGGTGGGAGGGTACTAGCAGACTGTGGTCTGGAACACAGGAGCATGTAATATAATTTATAATATATATATGCTATATATATATATATATATATATATGCTATATATATATACATAATTCATTAAACTATAAATGCATTGCTCCTAGATTTTAAGTATCGATTAATCTGCAGATAATTTATTAAATGAACTGGTTAATCATTTGGTGTACAAACCATCATAATGACGTTATATAACGTAATGATGTTTTGTCTGATGGCAGTGCAAAATTCTGAAATATTCAATTTACTATAATTTAGGACCAACAAATACAGAAAATCCCTCATCAAATATTTTTCATTTTTCTTGAAAATGATTTAAACGCTTGTCAGAACAGTGGCAGATTAATTTTCATTTGATTGACTAATCAATTTATCAGATTGCTGCAGCTCCAAAGGGGTACACTGATAGACTCACCATCAATGAACCGTCTCTGCTGCTGAATGATCTCGTCACACAGGTGTCTGTGCTGCTCGAAGCGCTGCACCACAAAGTTCTTCTGCCGGATGACGTTGTCCTTGAGCAGCGCATGAGACTGCATCTCTGCGTTTTCGATCTCCAGTTCGTGGACCTTGCAGAGGAGGCCCAGCACCTCGCGCTGCTCCTCTGAGCTCACCCTCCGAGGCAGCAGCTCCTCCAAGCGACGGGCGCGATCTCGGAGCTCCAGAAACCTACGCTCGAGCAACGCCTTAGGGGAAAAACAACAGGAGCTGAGATTAGATCGTATGTAACTATGATTTTCATTCATTTTTCAAGAACTAGACTGACACTTCTACCTTCTGTTTGTGAATCCTTTTCTGTTCGGCCATGAGTGTGACCAGATTTTCTCGGGCCATCGCCACCTCCTGCGTCTCACTGCTGTCAGGGGGAGACTCCGGGGAGTCAGAGTCCTTCTCACTTTCATCCTTATTGACACTTTCCTTTCTCCTTTCTGCACGCCATTTCCTCCTGCGCCTGCTCCGCTCCTGCTCCCAGCTAGGAGAAAAAAAAAATCTACATTTTAACTGCTGGTGATAATTTTTTAAAGTTTATAATTTACAGCTAGGCCATAGTGATCAGTTTTCTGCAGCTGCCCAAGTCATCATCTTCAACCTTTCAAGCTTTTTGTCAACTAACTGGATGCTACATATGTACTATCAGATGGGTGGGATATAACATAAATGCTAATCACTGACTCTGCAATGGTTAGCAGGTGTCTGGAGGTGTCGATCTGGATCTCCATGTTGCTGTTTTCTAGCTCCATCAGGCTCTTCCTGATCTCCATCTGCTGGCGGAAGGCATCCAAGAGCTGCTCCCTCAACTGATCCATCTCCGCCCGACTCTGCTGGCTGGAGTGGGCCTGGACTTCAGCTACGAGTGGGGGAGAGGAGAAGAGGAGGGCAGAAGGGGACGAAAAGAAAACAGTCATAAACAGGCACTGCTGAATAAAAATATTAGAAAACAGCTTCATTGAGCAGATGTTCTTCATGTCTTCATGTGACAAGACTTTACCCTGGACGTGGCGGATGTCAGCCCGATCTGAGTTGACCTGGCGGCTCGCCTGATCAGCAATCTTTTTCTTGAGCCGCTGGATCTCGCAGCGCAGGTCTGAGATGATGTTGGTGTATTGAGCAATGTGGTACGACACATTTATCAGGTTCTTCTTTACCTGAAGTGCACAGTGATGAGAAAGACAAAGAAAAATTTACATGGGTGTCAAATTTCACACTGAAAATCGGATTTTCTTACTGCAAGCGTCTGAATTTTGGCTTTTGGAACGCGATGACTGTGCCTGGATCTGCTTTATTGGCAGTAAATGTCTTACAATCAGCAGTAATAAGCTGTAAAATCTGCTCTTAACTCCTTATATATGCCTAGTGAAGATAATCAAAGGGGAAGTATATTTTCAAGAAATATAATAAGATATTTAATTGTAAAATTAAGATTAAACTAAATCAGTGAAAGCAGATGAGAAGCATCTTTATGAATAAATATGTTCTGAGCTCACCCGTGTTCGAATACTTTTGGCACGGTCAGCGTACGTCAGTGTGTTACGAGACTCCTCAAAAGCCACAGAGGCGGGGCTAATGTGGGCTATCATGACAGTTCGGCTGTTCCCGCCCAACGAGTCCTGTCAATCAAAGACGCCAGAAAAAAAGAACATGAATACAAGAGCTAAAACTTTTATCTGAATCATAAGACACAGGTATGATATATACATTCTTAAATGGTCCTACCTTTAGCAGGCGCGTCAACTTGCTGTCTCGATAGTTGACGTACTTGTTGCCATTTTTGTCGCTCAGGGCATTGATGCAGTTGCCCAAAGCCAGTAGGGAGCGGTTGATGTGGGCCCCCTCTTTCAACCGCTGACCCCTGTTCTGAGTCTAATAGATAAACAGAGAGATAGACGTGAGTGAGCTTTTAGAAGTATTTATTTTTTGGACATTTCCTGCCTTTGTTAAGGAGTAGACAGCCAAGAGCATGAACCTGTAGGCTCTTATCTGTGTCGTTCAGAGTAGCTGTCATGTTTCTGCTCTTGCCCAGGAGATGGCATTACCTCCTACCTTTCATCCGTCAATACTCAGCTCAACTAAATCGTCTTCACCTCTCACTAACCGCATGAGCTCCTCTTCTGCAGAGGCAGAGGAAATGTTCCCCGTGCCCTCAAGTGACAAACAACCCTCCCGTCCTGCTCACTTCCTAATGGAGGCCATATCAATAGTCTCCATGGTAAATAAGCACTCTCAACCGCTGACCTTTTTGCATGTTATTCTAATGGTGTGCAAAGATGTGTGTGTGTGTGTGTGTGTGTGTGTGTGTGTGTGTGTGTGTGTTCGGGTGACAATGACAAGCTTTCTGAACGACAAAAGAAGACTCAACTTGAAAAACTGCTAACGACAAAGTGAACAAACACTTTTCGACATTCTCACTTGACTTCCTGAAAAGAGGTCAAAGCGATAATAAACCCCAGAACTTGAATCGGCTCACAGATAATCTCTTCTCTCTGTCTGATAATACAGGCCTGCTCCTTTCCACATAAGTATTGACTGTATTGCTTTGATACTAGAGACTTGTTTGTAGAGGTTATGTTTTTATTATTTTACTCTGCATGTGTGTTTTTATTTATTTTTATATTTTTGTCTCTTGTAAAAGGTAAAATCAATAAAATATTGATCCCAAATATTAAACGATTCCAGTTATGACCATCGCTTGGAGGAAGCTCTGTCTGGGACCACCACATTGTTCTGTTATTGTTTTCATAAACTCTTTGATGCCTTGTCATGGGAAGAATATATTCACATCCTTTACTTAAGTACATTTTGCAATACTACACGGTAAAAATGATTTAATATACATGTAAAAGTACTGCATTGAAAATGTTTAAAAATAAAAAACGTAATCAAAAGTCTGTAAAGTACTATAGCTAAATTTACGTTTAAAGTATCAGAAGCAAAAGACTGTTAGGTAGTTACAGTAAATCTATAACAATGCATTATATTCCACATGCTAAAATCTTTATTTGTAAAGTAACTATCTGTCATACATGTAGTTCAGTAGAAGAGTTCAGTGGCATGAAATGGAAATACTCAAGTAAAGCACAAGTGCTTTCCCCACTGCCAATCAAAGCTTTAACTTTGCTTTTACGGAGGTGTAAAGCATCATGTTGCAATATAACGTTATCCCTTTTGCCAAAAGGTTACTTTAATAAACAGCAAACTGGACTATAATGGCAGATATAAAGAGGCTTTTATTAAAGTCTCCTGAGGTTTATGGGAACCTCACTCCTCTGACTGTTGTAAAGACTCGCTGCCAAGCATCCCCAGTCAGCAGACTACAGTTAGACGCTACATGAGTGCAGACACACTCACAAAGCGGACCGTTGTAGTTTTGAGGCTACACACGTGTAACGTATCCATACAGGTTTAAAAGGAGCAGTGTTAGTAATGGACACTTTAGCCAAGTCTGTGAACTTGAACTTGAATTTGGCAGAAAAGTCGTTGACAAAAGCAAATGCACCCGCACAGGTACTCTCACACGCCAAGTGACTCTCCACCTGTACGACTCCCAATTAAACACACTGTCAGCCTTTTAAACACCTCCTGACTGAGTGTATATGTACACACACCTGAGCTGCTCGTTCAGAGCCGGCAAGGTCGATCATGAAGAGGCGCGCGAAGCGGACCTCCTGCAGAATGTCTCGACAGCGGCTCTGCTGCTTGACGGCCACCTGCAGCACGGCGTGGGAGCGAGACGACGTCTGATTGGCGGCTGTGGGCTCCTGGGTGCGCTGTTTGTTCCCCTTCATCAGCAGTTCCATGATCTGACAACACACATGAGGAGTTCTTTGTGGTGCGCGCAGTTGCCATGGATGAAATCCAAATGTTTCGATTATATAATAAATGAGTCATGTGGCGCAGGGTTATGTAGCTTATCTTACCTCTTGGGCATTAATGGTAGACACTTCCGTGATGCCTGCAACCTGAATCACTCCCTTTGAGTCTTCTCTCAGGTCCAAGAAACCCGAAGACGGGTTCAGCAGATCACGGATCATCTCATTGTAGATCTAAAAAGGCACAGGTAGAAATATGAAATCGACAGCTGAATGCGTCTGCAATAAAGATTTTAAAAAAATTCCAAAGGTTTATGTATTTGCTCAGCCTCCATAGGTAGTGTTTGTTAAGTCACAGACGTGAATGAACTGGAAAGACGTTTATGTCCGCAGAAAAGGCTCCATTCAGGCTTTCAAGCCTCCTACACAAACGCATGCCAGGTACAAAAACAGCAAGTACTATATTTTCAGCAGCTTGTCATTTAGAAACCACCGCTTGCTGGGTGGCATGCTGTCATCAAGCCAGTGTCAGCGCTCTTCTTTCACACTGTTATTGAAGGTGCAGCGAAAGCCCCTCGACCCACATAAAAGCCCGGTGTAGGAAGTGACATCCTGGAAAGTGACCGCTGATGACAAAACCACTGAGCAGTTTTTATTTGTCAAGCAGACTCTAGCCACAAACTGTGAAAAAGAGGGATGCTTTTACTGACACTGACAGTTGGGTGTTTGTTCTGTTATTTTTTCCATCTGCACTCTTTCATTGCTAGTGAGGTTGGAACATGACTAAGAGTCTACAGCCATGCTAGCTGCTCTGTCAGCTGCTCTGTGAGGCTGCGCTCACAGTAAGCTTTGCAGCTATAAACCAAAATAAGCAACAAAATATAGATTTTGATCTGATTTTGGTGCTAGATTGAAAGTCAGTGGATCAACAGATTGTTACAATTTATCCTAAGAGGAACATTAAAGTGATAGTAAGGGGTTGTGTGAGGCACTGATACATAGTCAGTGTATTACCTGCAGTAGATTTGGATCAGCGCGCTCCCACTTTAGAGAAGCAGCTGGGAGCACCAACACAGGAGCTGAGTGATGTGCCGCTTTGGACGGGGTCATCCACAAAAACAATAGTTTTAGCCGCTTTAAAAACTGCCCACCAAAATAAGTTTAAGTGTACACTTTATTTTGAATATTTTCACTACTTTATCGTGTAGTCAAACAGCCCTTTCCTTTGGAACTATATTTTCTAAACCATGAAACTACTGTATTTCTACGCACAAGCGCACCTACACGCCATATTCAAAATAAAGCATACACTTCAACTTATGTTGAATATTTCAAGCCTGGACCTAAGTGGTGCATAGACTGACCAACAGACCGACTGTCATCCTTAGAGTGACGCTGCTGGCAAAGCTACATGTGAGAAGAACAGCCAACAATACCATAATAAACACTTAGGTGGTAAAGACTAACTGATGCATTTTTTATCTTTACAGTGTATATTTATTAGTATATGTTGTGTGTGTGTCTGTGTGTGTGTTTTAGAGATTGCACGTGTGAAAGAGAGCGTGATATGAACAAGAAAAGGAATAGATGTGTGCACTGCGGCTGTAAAATGGCATTTAACCTCTTTGTGGTGACAGTGGCAACAGATTGCTCCGTGGAAACAGCAAACACACACACACACACACACACACACACACCGGATTCATCCTGAAGAGCTCAGTGCAGGTCAGAGAACAGCCACACTCCATGACTGGCATTTTAATGGGAAAATTTTCACTTTCAGCCCCCTACTCCCCCCAGAGTGCTACTAAAGAGCTAAGCTTCAATAACACTGTCAATCACTGCACATAATCACAGTATTTGCCACTGAAAACACAAAATGTAATTTCGATGTCTGATACAAACCCTCCTCCCACCAGACAAAATTTGTACCCAACAAGTACTTATATTGTACCATTTCCATTTTCTGTTGAAGGCTGAATGCTCTTTTCATATTTGCTCTTTTTATAAAAAGGTACTAATCATCTCTGTCTCATTTTTTCTGTCATCATCCCTTCCTTTAGTTTCTCTCCAACCATTTCCTCTTTCTCGTCTTCTCTCACTCTCATTTCTTTTCCTGACAGTTTGAACATTTCTAAAATAAATGTGAGTCATTCCTCTTTATATTCGTGCTGGCATCTTTTCCAACACGACTTACAGGAGCGAAACAATGATCGACAAACTGTTTGCTACAAATCAGAAGAAAAGTCCTGAATGAGGCAGTTCATTTGTGTTTTAAAAACCAAGTCACTGCTACATGAAAGGTGAAAAGTACAAATACATTTATTTAAAGGTTATTTGAAAAGACAGATTTATGTAGATGAAACCCATGCACACTATGAACTCATTGTATCACTACACTCATTTCAGCTTCAGTCAAGAAAAGACACAAATTACCTCATTACATGTGAATACGAAGGTCACACAAGTGAAGCTCAGTTACTGCTGTCAGAGTCAAATGAACCGACTCCATTGTAGCCAGTGCTATTAATGGCTTTGTCATTAAACACACAGTCTGAGCTTCTCAGTAATGAGGTGTGGAACCACAGCTGGCAGGCACACTGAGAAACTGCCATCATCAGCCTGCTGTCTTATCTGTGATCCATCATCCTCTGACAAAGGGCGGAGATAAAACTCAGCTAGCAGGACCACAGATTACTCCACATCTAAATGAACTGCGGCAAAAGCACATATACAGTGCAGTATGTAAAGTACCTATACCTACAGTATGTAATCTGTTATTTATGGTGTTTGTAAATATTATCCGACCTATAGTGCTGCTGAAGTGACAGATAACAAGACAAAAGAGTGACAACCATCTTCTGAGGGATGCTCTGGTAACAACATAACAACCACCTCCCCGTGATGTCCTCAGCAAGTCTCTATTCACGCCACTAAACTCAAAAACAAACTCTAACGCTGGAAGCACACTGCCTTAGTGTGTGTGCATGACAGCTGCCGTCGTTGACCTGCTGCGACATAGAGTTGCGGGCTACTGGAATGTTGGATTTCTTTTCATTATAAATTCATTTCCGATTTATTTTTGACAGAAAATGTAAAAAAAAAAAAAGATCACATCAAAATGGTCTGCATCATATTCAGATTCAGCCTCGACATAGAAACTATAGCGAAAGGTGTCGAATTTATGTAATATTGCTGGTATAATGTCATTATGACATCAACAGGTCCTTGCTGGGAGACGTGCATGTCACGTGTGAAAAATAGGCGAGACGCTGAATCTCTAGATACTGGACTTAGGGCCTGACACTCCAGTGTTTTGTATCGCCTTACGTTGCCTCACTTCTCCTCCTCTCTCCTCATTTTGCCTCACGTTTTCCGTTAAAAGTTGCACTTTGTAAACACCACAGCCGACAGCCAGCTAATTAATGATGTGCATTACATTCTGTGTCAGCAGGAGGGAAAACAATTAATCAATAGTGTGTATTTGTACTCCAGTGGATGTCAGTGAGAGACAAACTAAACAAAAAAAAGGCTGCAATATCTTTTTGGAAGAGGATTTCAGTTGAAAAAGCTTCAATTGGCAGTTTGGCTTTGCTTTGCTATGAGGAAGACAGAAAAAAAAAGAAAGGATATCGTGAAAATGGGAGAAACCACACTGAATTGGAGAAATTGCTGCTTCACTTTGATGCACAGCCCTTTCAGACACCACTCTTGTCAGTAACCGCCTCCTCTAACAATACACTCAACAAAGCGGCCATCGAAAGGGTCAGTTAGAGTCGAGCCACAAAAACTACAGGCGATGACGAGTTATAGAAGTTCAACAATGGTCCACTGGTGCCCCGCGGCTGACTATCACCTCGTATTTCGCTTCTGTTATGAAAAGGTTTGACAGATAGCAACTCTCTCTTTGAGGCAGCGGCAGTAAGCCTTTACAGATTCAGTAAGGAAGGGGAGGCAAGGTAAGTGTGTTTGTGCAACACAGTTCAAAGTGCTTTACATGGGATATAAAAACGGCATCAAGACAAGCTATGAAAGAAGAACAAGGCAAATAAAAACACATATATAACTGTGGAATTTAAGTAGTCTCCAAAGTCTGCTCAGTTGTGTGTGGGCATCTCTACATGGCTGTGGATGAGGACGCACGCTCAGCTCAGAAAAAGTAAAGTGACACCAGCAGTATCTGCCTGCAATTGGCACAAGCTCACAACCATAGATGTGAGCTGTGAAGAAAATCAGCAGAAATCTCTAAATCCTGAATGAGCAATCAAGCTAATGGTTATAACATTTCGAACCCTGCTGCAGGCCAATTACAAGATGTGCCATCGCTGATTCTGTCGTAGGCAAATTAGTCGTAGGCAAATTAAGTTCTGACCTCCAGATAGGACATGGAGACGCTGTACAGCATGTCGTCACTGGTTTCCTCAATGGCACGGAACAGGTCGTTTAACGTTCGAACGTAGATGCCTGGCTCCTTGTCTGTCCCCAACATGGTGTATGTCTTCCCACAACCTGAAAACAGAAACATAATAGACACAAACAGAAAAACATTATTGTTTGTCTTGAAAAGCAAGAATACAAGAATTCACAGTTTAGTTTTAGGATGATAGTGTTTTTTACACATGAAGTGTTTAGACTAGTTGATTTGTTTTAGGGATCGGAAATGACTTTGGAAAGAAGTGTGTAGAATTTGTGTAATATGTAATGATTTTAAAGCTGCTCTAGTGAATATTTTACAGAAACAATGAATGAAATGACTGTGTATCATGTGAAAGAGGTCACTCGTATCAACAAACCCACATAGAGTTATTACCAACTCTGCAGGTACCCTCAGCGCTTTAGCGTTTTTCAGCCCATTGTTTATTGTTTTATGTGCCTAACCTTACTGCATGTTACCTGACCAGCACTAAACTAGACGGACAAAGTTAGCGACTTGCTGGGGAATATAGCGGAGCATTTAGCAGCCAGGGAACGAGAGTTTTTGTAGACCAAACTGCAGTTAGAAGGAGCTGAAATACTGGCAGCCAGAGTCACCACTCCAAATGTGGGATGATGCTGCTCTTTGTCTCAGAGCAGTATTATCTCAAAAATGTGGAAATAGGCAACTTTTGTGTTGCAACTTTATAACATGAAAACTGTGTCAATCTTGTGTCCACTATGACGTAATCTCATTTTATGAAAGATAAATGCTACAGCTAAATCTACAAGCTTGGTGTTTACTTCGTGCATATGTCTGAACATTAAAGATGTGCTGTATTTATTCAACCTCGGCTGGCCTGTTGCACGCAAACGCTAAAACCTCTGCGTGTTTTTCTTCCCCACAAAGGGAGACAAAGAGCTTTGGATCTCTGACAGATGGACAGACAGAAGGGAGAAGTCAGACAGACGGATGGGAAACTTGAATGGAGAAATAGTACTGAACTATTCTCTGACAGTCGGAACCTACCCACTGGAAACGTGGGAGGAAGAGCGTGACTCATTTTCTTCTCATACCTGCACTAAAATGAAAAACCAAAACAGATGTGAGAGAGACGTGTCACCCTTTTCCTGTGTGCGCTGAGGCTGACCAGACATTAAGGGTCAGAAAGGTGACACGTGATTGGTGGATGATACATCTCCATCAAAAAGAGTCATAAGGTATCAACCTGAACCATGTGTGACACACACACACACACACACACACACACACACACACACACACCTGTGGGTCCGTAGGCAAACACAGTGGCGTTGTAGCCTGATATGAGGCCCTCAATCAGGCCTTTGGTTGTAGCTCGGTACACCTCCGCCTACATGGGAAAAAGAAAATAAAAGATTCAAGTGCACAGGCATATTCTGTGAAAACAAATGCAGCGCCATATTTGTATAAATTTCATTTAATTTTTGATTTATTTCAACATTAGCTTTCGACTGACCTGACTGGCTGAGTAGTCGAACGCCACGTCGAACATGTAAGTCTTCTCCCTGGAGCGGTTGGCACGCAGGATGTCGTCCGGGTCCTCCATGGGGTCCATCAGAACCACCATCTGATGATGAAGAGGAGGAAGGCAGAGGGAGGGGGGGAGGGGGGGTGGGGGCAGAGAGAGAGAGAGGGACAGGAAAACGGTGGTTAGCCTCCAAGCCAATACAGCAGCTCATTAACTCGATGACATGTCTCTTGTCAGTCACTTTGGAAAGTTTAGCTAATGAACAAATTTGCTCTGGATGTCAATATGAAAATGTGCCAAAAGTAGGATAGCTGGCACGTCAGATAATATTGTCACAACTAAATTCTCCTGTGATTGGACGGATCACGGATTAGAAAATTATAATTTGTCTGTTATAAATTTACTGCCTGTTTAGATTGTAATGTGTGTTAATGCATAGCTACAAAAGGAATTAAAAAAGGTGCTACACTGCGCAGCTGTAGCATCAGCTGTTAGGGCTGGCTAGCATAAAATGCAGATGGCTCCCTTGTCTGTTGCAGATGGGTGCAGATGTCTGTTTCTGTTGAGACACTTTGCATGTCTGCAGGCGCAGGTATGGATAACTGAAAGGCATCACAGTCAGATATGAGCATGACATCACCCATAATGTTACAATGTGTCTGTTATTAACAGTATTAACCATACAAGTATGGTATATTGTTATTTTCATTCATGTTTTGGCTGGGTCTCCTTTTTTTCTTTTTCCATAGGTTTGGTCAAGTTTGCATTCAAATTACCACCAGAAGAGGCTGAAGCTGGACATTTCAAGCATTTATTGACTGCTTACTTTAAGGGATCCATTTCAACTTCTTTCAACTAGTTTTCACACAATCACAGCAGGTGTTGTCAAGGAAACACCTTAATTGACCCACCTTATTGTAACTGGTCGTTTCTTGGTTTATTGTGACAATAAAGACACTCAGCATCAGCATCACACCAATTTGTAATCCTATTTGTGTGTTTATTTTCCCCCAAAATTCAATTACGTGGGTCAAATCATAATTTTAATAAACCATACTTTCCATTTTTTACAGATTAGTTTAGCTACTCAACAATCTTTCCATGTACTCAATGCAATTTCAAATAAGTCACATGTCATTTTGTGTATTCAGATTAGACTGGAGGAGACATGGAAAGAAAAATGACTGGCAGCAAGAGTGGAGAAAAGCAAAGTCACATTTCAAATCAAGGACAATTTGCAATTTTCACAAATAGAAATGAATAAACTCGAATTATCAAAATAAATGACACTTCATCACTAATGAAGGTAGGTTGTGTCAAATTATGTTTTGTGCATGTGACAGTCTGAGCAGCAGAATCACACTGTGTGTGAATACACGGAGACTGAGATGTGTCATTGTGCCAATTGTGCTGTGTGACAAAGCCTAAGCCTAAGCCACGATCATCAGTAAATCGCAGCTCTCCAAAAGAACATTTCAGGGACAAATGCTGAGCAGAAACAGCACAGCACGACAGAAAAAAATATTACAATGCTGTTGACAAATCACTGAATCAGAGTGTATACAATTGGTTTGACAGGTTGTACACATCTTAAAGAAAATTATGCCGCTAACTAGGGTTGTACTGACGGACCATGCCATGTCGCCGGCTGACAGCCCAACATCGATGTTGACCCTCCCCAGCCCCGCATTGTCAGGGCTTTGCAAGTTCACGTTTTACAGCAGAAAACGTCAAATGTCAGAACTGTTCTTGAACACAACCCGATAAATTCGTTCAGTGCAACAAGGCGGTGATAGGCGGAGATGTGCTGTCTGAATTTCGGCCTAACTAAAGATAGATGACGAGTCTGTGATGTTATCTCCTTCAGGTTGCTTAAAAAAAAAAAAAAGGAAAACTGAAACTTATTGACCAGGAAAAAAGTGCGCTATAGCGTTCAGGGAAAAGTTCCCTTCATTGCTTGTACACACAACTCAGAAAAAGTTTGCCAGGTGTTTGGACTGTCTACCGAGGAGTTAAACAAGATAAACCGAGCACTTTATTCCACATCGGATAAAGTAAAACAGGATGCCATTCTGTTGTCTCACATGCACTTCATGCCAGTTAAACGGCGAAGGCCTAAAGTGGATAATCCATCAAAACACAAAACAAGGGATCAGCTGGGAGTTTGCCACAGTTTTTTTTAGCTGATGTGCTCCGTTCAGCGGTGGGTCTGGAGAGTCCTCTGAGGCCTCTAACGCTGAAGCACCCCGCTTGTTTGATGACCACCTCAACCACTGAGCCGCTCACTTTGAAGCCTCTCAATTGAAATTCAAGAGGAGAGATTTCACTTTTAATAAACTGACAACAACGGGTGAGGCGGGGAGCACGGCAAGCTTGCACAAGCTGCAATCAGCGAAAAGGGGGACAGGAGAGGGGGGATGAAGTACTGAAGAGGAAAGATGGAGAGGTGTGAAACATGAAGCAACACCGGTACTTGTTTGTCCTTTGAGTTTACTCCTTCACTGGGCTCAAGATATGTCTTTTCATGGTGGGAGAAGATGAAGAAGAGCATGTGAGGGTAAGAGAGTAGTGTGTGCAGCAGTTGATGCTACTCTTTTCAATCCTTCCTCCCCCTCCTCTTCCTCCTCATCCTCTTAACTTCCCGCTTCTCCTCTAACTTTTCTTTGCACTCTGTCCTGCTACAGTGACGTACGGGTTCTGATCGCATTTCACAGGAAAGATATTGTGAACAAAGGAGTACTTCTCCTAGTATCCAAGGTCAGAGCCCACATTTGGATAAGGGCTGGCAGTGTCTTGGGCGGTTGTCTGCTTTGTCAGATCGTCTTATCATCATTGTCTGTTTATATCTCATACAGGGCACATCTCTGCTGATTATGTTGACAGTCAATATGACTATATATAGATACGAGCTTGGTTGGCCATCAACAAAAACGAGAATCCCAGCCATCATCTGGCTGCAGCAGTTTACGCTAAATCTGTTTCATCGCCCCCCTGACTCCACATGATAGTCTCTTATATTGCGTTTCAATATAACAGAAGACATAAACAAGTCATTCCCATCTTATTTCTCCATTTTTGTTGTCACACAAATGCACAGGTACACAAAGTGTACTGATCATGGCTCATGAGGGCTTCCTAACAGAGAGGAGGAAGACCAGGGGAGGCAGTCACTCCTGGTCAGGTGCAGAGACAGATGCCGAATCACTACTTTATAGGGCTTCAACTAAAGATTAGTTTCATTATTGAATAATCTACTGATTATAATCTCAACTAATCTACCAATTGTTTAATGTACAAAAAGACATCTTCAAACTGAGTGTGAACTTGTGAATGTCATTTTTCATTGAGAAATGAGTGAATAAATTTAATTTATTATAAAAAAGTAGCTGGGGACTACTTTTTTTGTCTATCTCCTATTTTATGCTCATAAAGTTGCCTGATAGCACTAACATGAATACAGATGGATGGCAACCCTTTCATTGGAGTATTACTTACACACAGTATACAGTATGTACAATATATCATCATTTGACAGTGGAGAGCACTGTTTTGCGGGGGTGTAGAAAGTACCAGTTTTGTGTGATCGAAAGTCTATAACAGAGCCTTTTCAAATTTAGTCACCTTAGTGTGGACCTGTTACTGTACGCATGATGCGGTGTTTTTTGACAAAGCTAATGAGCATGCAACAATGCTCTTACATAATTGCACGCACAGTAGGTATCAAATAGTGTGTGCATCCATGCACAATTTTGTTCCTGCGCATGCACTTGGGAAAATCATTAAGGGCTGAGGGTGTTGATAACACCTCTAGTCCCATCTGTCATCTGTGTTTCTTGTGTTACAGTATCTGCCATAGCTCCACCCATGAATATCCACAAACAACAGCTGCTGCTCAGGCAGACTCTATACCACTAATTTTCTTAAGTCTTCTGATAAGACTGTAAGTTGCTGGCTCTGATGACAGTACACTGTGTAGCAACATAAGACCAGATGTCTGGGCATGCGCCTCAGGGTTCTGATGCCAGTAACTGCCCTGTGTGTTCAATTAAGCGGCTTCTGAGAGACAAAGAGTCTAGGGTGAGGTACAGGTTAGTCCTCGCATTGACGTCCAGTGCACAGAACAGGTTGAGGAGTATTTGGAAACATGGCAGTCTCATGGATACCAGTAAATCTCCCACATATCCTCTCTCTCTCTCTCTCTCTCTCTCTCTTTCTCTCTCTCTGTCTTTCTCGCTCTCACACAGTTGCATGGAAACATGTACTCATATGACACACATAGCAACTAAGACAGAAGCACTTCATGTCCACTGCAACTTGCAAGTCTGTGCAAGCAGGGTGGCATGACTGACCACAAGAGCGGACGCCAGCGCACTCCCACGCACTGCGTCTGTGTGTATAAGATGAGAGGAGGTGGTGTTCGCTGGAGTCTTGTTACACCACAAATATTGAGCAATGGCTTCTCACTTCATCTATGTGTAATCAATAAAGATAGCAAAAGCTCAAATTAAAGTTGAACATTTTTAAACTGCTGAATGGAATTGTATTTTAAATATCCAGTAAGTGGTTATAACACATTAGGAGTTAACAGCGACTAGTTGATTAATCAATCTTCATAAAAGGAATCAGCAACTGTTGATAATCGATTAACCATTTGAGCCATGTTTCAAACAAAAATAACAAATATACACTGGTTCTAGCTCCTCAAATGTGAATGTTTTCTGGTTTTCTTTCCAGCTGTTTTTTTTAAGGTGAAATGATGTATCGAGAAAATAATCAGATGCAGGTGTCATTCTGGGTGTTTAGTACAGGATCATGCTATTGCAAAGTCTTATTTCATAGGCTACAAGCTACAAAAGGTGATCACAATCACAGGATAAAGCTGGTGGTTTATTTCCACATCGACAGAACAACCAGATCACACAGCCGTACGCAGGATCTGTTAAACACACAGATCAACTGGTCAAGCCCTCTCAGTCATTGGGCAGACGGAATCAGTCCCAGAAGAGCTCGTCAGTTCATCCTGGTGTTTGGTATACGTGAATCATGAAGCCAACGCGCTTAAAACCAGGCTGTACCAGTAACCAGTCAGTACACAGCTG